AAACGTTGTACATTTGCTGTTATGTTAAACTTATATTAAAGTTTTCTTCATTACCCATTCAAGCCGTCTCCAACCATTCTTAGTCTGAAAGTGGTTTCCTCGTCATCGAATTTGAACAAAGAACTAATGATATCAATTTATTTAGGAAAAAAAGCTATTTGAAATACTAAGAATTCAAAGTGAAATCAAATCCATCATTTGAGTTACCATTTCTTCTTGAGTTATACTGATTTCAGGGAATTCCAACAATCATTACTAATGTTGCAGAATAAGTTACATCTTAATAGTTATTATACATATTATATCTACAGATATTTCTTTATTACTTACATGTTATTTTGAATTCAGTTTTTAAATGGGTTTCTAAACTTCTGCTAAATTTTCTATTCTGTATAATTTGATCTTGTTTAGGTTTTAAGATGAGTTCGTGTTATAAAAAGAGCAATTATTACATAAAGCTACATGTCTGACTATTGGAAAATCTCAGAATTTTAAGTAAAAAAGATCAAAAATTTTGAAAAATATGCTTAATCGCTCTTGTTGTTTATAATGCTGTTATTAAGGAGGCCAATGAAGATGGAATGATTTCTCTTGGATGGTACAGGTACCCTTGAGCAATGGACCAACGTTAAGGGACTGGTTTACATCTTCACCCCAAATCACTGTGTATGCACACAATCGACATAGGCCACTGACCTAGGTCGTCGTCAATTAATGGGGAGAACACCACATGGATCCTAGATTTTGAAGTATGGTTCCATACTTGTCTACGCAGCTGCCATATTCTGTCCCATTCACGTCATTTCATTCCAGCCCGAGGGGAAATGGCGTGCCGGTAGAAAAGTATGCCCTCTCGACAGCCAAGTGAGGATAACTAGAAAACGAAAGGAAGAACAAAAGGTGGAAGAGATGGAGAAAAGGGTGGAGAAAAACAGAGAGAGCACAAGTGAGAAAGAAAGGAAGGAAGAGAAAGATGAAATGGTAGATACAGGGAGAACGAGAGAATTGAAGTGGAATGACAGAAAGACTGGCAATGAAAAAACACAAAGATAGATGAGCACTGTAGGGGCTAAACCTGGTGATGAGACATGCAAGAAAAATCAAACTGTTAAGTCCATGGGCTTTGGTTCACTAGATAGATAGAAGGTAATAGATGAGATGAAGGTACCTCATCATGATTAGGATCATTTGGTGAACGTATCATAAAATATAGGTTCTAAAGATGATCAGCAGATGCTAAAACTGTTTGTAGGGTATGCAATTTAGTGGCAAGAACATCAGAGAATATCACATTTTGAAAATAAATATTTTGTGAACATAGCGAGTACAAAGCTGCTGCAGGTGTAACAGGATATTTGGAAAGTTCAGATGGTTGTACAACTCCCAGGTGGGACTAGGAAACTTGAAAACATATACCTATTTTAAAGGGGAGTTCCACAGTTAGCAAATTGTTATCTCTCAGTACATTGTTGCCCGATGAAGGCCCCAGTATGAGGGTCGAAAGTGCTCAAATAGAAGTATTTTAACATAGATAAAAGGCCGTTTATAATTTTATATATAATTAACCTACATTAAGAGTCTTAAACAACATTTATTAGGATTATTTAAACATGATGGAAAATATCGCTTACTTTTTGTGATACTCTTCCTGTGTGTGTGTTTTCCTCTTCTCTCACTTTCTGGTGAAACTCACAGCTGCACTGTTCGTTCAGAAATGATTTTTGTAAAATGATTGAAAAAACATTTTGCATCATTCATATCTACTTAAATTTGTAAATCTTTTTAAATAAAAGTCATTGTTACCCGTGCAGCGAAAAAACAAATTTGTCCTTAATTCAAATTTGTTTTTTCGATGCACGGGTAATAACAACTTTTATTAAAAAAATGTTTTATCAATTTTAAAATCAGAAATACAATCGAACAAACATTTAAATATAATCATTTATGCCAATAATATGAAATTTAACACTTTTATATGTGTTTTTGTTGTTTTTTAAACCTATTGTTATAAAATTTATTATTATTA